TCCTTAAACAGGATTAAACTGAACTTTAAATCATTAAACAGGATTAAACTGAACTTTAAATCCTTAAACAGGATTAAACTGAACTGTCAGTCCTTAAACAGGATTAAACTGAACTTTAAATCCTTAAACAGGATTAAACTGAAGTTTAAATCCTTAAACAAGATTGAACAAATCTTTCCGTCCTGCTCTAAACAGATTTAAAAGTTGCCTTTGGTTGACTGTTTTGGTTCTTTTGGACCCAGAAACTTTTAATCTCTGTGGATCTTGACCGGACATGATCATAATCATTAAAGATCAGATTCAGACTTTATTTATCCCAAAGAGCAATCCAGATTTCCACCCACGCACACATACATATGCTCATATAGCTACAAGCCATGACAACAAACAAACAAAGACGAATATTTTGAGTAAAAACACGTGGAGTTCCACAAGGCTCCGTCTCGAGCCCACCATGTTTTAGCTCTAACCGCTGCCTTTTGTTTTTAAAATATATTTGTTTATATTTGACAAATAAAACCTTTATTAAAACAAACTCTGGACAAACTATTTCAATAAAAACTAAAGAAGTCACGTTTTCTATGAAAGTGATGAACGATTTTTCTGAAAACAAACGCCGCGACCTGAGGACGGATGAACATTTCTCCAGACACGTTTAATGAACTTCAGAACAAAATTCAGGTCAGATATTAAAAAACAGTCAAAACAACTTTAAGCTCGGTCCGATACGAACATCTGGGTATTGTTTCCATGACAACATCAAACCACGACACGTCTGCACTGAGCACGCTCAGTTCTTCACCAGACAACCACCACAGGTTGGCAGGTGAGATGTATTTATATCCTGTAGAACCGGTCCGTTTCCAGCCCGCGGGCCTGCAGTTTGGCCCATAATGTTGATCCAATTCAGTTTTTGAACTCGTGTTCACCTGCTGAGCCCGATCCGAAACCATTCACAAAAACTAAATCTGCAGTTTTTAAACGAAAAATATTAAAAATAAACGTAAATCTTGTTCAGTTTTAAAATAATTCTCTAAAAGATGCTTTTAGTTTTTGTTGTGCTTCTTGTTTTCAGCTGCATGACCCAGATTTGATGATTTTAGCAGTTTGGACATGTTGTGGTTTCTATTCTAAGTATCTGTAAATCTCAGCACTTTATTGATCTGATGATCGATTATTGAACCGATTTCTGCCTCAGACTGAAAGTTTCACGTGAACTGAACTGACTTTACGTCACATTCAAATGGTTCCGATCCATCCAGGACAACACACAGGCTCTGATCAGATGTGGGTCAGAACTGAGGCTGAAGTCCGTCCTCTGGTTTTGGACCTGAAATGAACACGTGCGACTCTGCAGAACCTCCAGTGAGCATCCTCCCTGTGTGTGTGTCAGAACAGCAATCAGCTCTTGAGCAACTTGATCTTTACCACCTGAGTGTGTGTGTGTGTTTGTCCCCAAACAGACGGGTCTATCAATAGTAACTGGAGGTGACCGGGGGTCACTGACCTGGTCCACGGACCCCCTCCTCCACCAGACTCAGATCTACGCTCAGATCAGCTGCTGCATCGAGGTGCACGTCAGAGGAAAACGCAGCAGGACAATCACACAAACTCCAGGAGTTAGTCACATCCTACAGGAGTTGGACATCAACTCCAGGAGTCTGACCCAAACTTCAGGACTTAGACACATCCTATA